CAGGTCTGCCAGTATCTTCCTAAGCCAACTAATGATAACCCTTTCTCAGCTGGCAACATTTCTTTCCTAAGTTTAAGCTATTCCATGTGTGAACTTTATGTAAGATTCCAAACCTTTTTCATTGAAAGTGTTTGAGGTTTCCATACAACTATTTATTTCTTCAGAACACCATCCTGGAGGCAAATCAATATTCTAACAAGAGATTGGCTCTACTGGTGATAAGGAACTCTTGATTCAGGCAATTCAGCTTTGGTGGTTAGCCCTTTTACCTGGTGTGACCTTGGAAAGAGAATTCATCTGTCTGTGCCTATTTTGTTGCTTGTGCTAAATGATTATTGAAACAGTGTCCACCTTATTGAAAGTTACATAGGGATTAAGTGAATTAATGAAAGTAAAAATCTTAAAATAATGACTAAGCTGTACTACATGGTGATAGCAATTAGTTTTGAAATGACAAGCCTCCTTACTACTCAGTGTCCTAGAAAAACCTAGGCATTATTATTCTAGTACACATAATAATAATAGATAATTGGCCACAGCCAGTTCAAGATTTCAAAACTTGGATGGCCGGGAATTATTTAAAAACTAAATACAAAACTGAATGAAATATATTATTTTAATTCCAAATATACATTTACAAACATGGGAAACATACTGGAAGGAAAGATAGAATTATATTAACAGGCATCTCTGTAGTGAGATGATGGGTCATTTTAATTTTTTCTTGATATAATTTTTAAATTTTAAATAAGCAATGGTAATTTTATTTTTTTCCTACATTTTTCTTAGCCAAAGGGCTAAGAAGCAATGTATTGGGTCTTACGGTGTAGCCCAGGCTGGCCTCAAACTTATTATTCAATAGTTGGGGTTTAAGATATGTTGTCACATCAAGCAATGGTAACTTTAAATTCTAACTTTAACTATAAAATTAATTGGTGTAAAACTTACTTAAAATAATGCCTAAAATTTTATATTGAATTTAAATGAGAATTCAAATGAGGAAAACCATTACATTGTTAAATACTATATTAATATAAGAATTCAATGTATTTGACTAAGAGATTTTTTTTAATGTCTTCTCTGGTAATATGTTCAAAAACTCAGAGATTCATTTACAGTCAAGACATCAGAAAGAAACTAAACAAAATTCCTATATCTGAAGGAACATCCTAGACCATTGCTTGGTTTATGACTGCTAGTGTGGGAGAAAGCCCACAAATATAGACTTGGAAAACTAGAAAGATTCCAATATTACAGAAGTTCTCTGTATATTTGTTATGATCCTGGCATTGGACTGTGTTAATAATATATGGGAATAAGACACATCTTTATTCTAAAAGCGTTCTTAGAAAATTTGAAAACAGTCTCAAGTGTGTTTGTGTCTCAGTACCTGTGCAATATTATCCTAATTATTGCCATTCCAGCTTTTCATATTTTTTAAATATTGACTGGAATGTTGTGCTGCAAGGTAACTCCTTCAGAGAGCACATGGATTTTTAAAGCCAATATAAAGTCTTCATTATTGGCCAGATGGCTACACAGAGAACTTGCCCAAATCATGTAGCCTTGAGCCTTACCATTCTTGACTCTATAGGCACAGAAACCATCTCATGGTTGATACACTTGAATTAGTAAGAACAGTAGTAAGTAGAACTACAGAAATCAAAAGCAAATCTAATACTTTTAGGGACTCTCCCAGACCCATGCACTATGATGGATAAGATCATTGTTCTCATTTCAGCAGGTGTTGGGGGCTACATGCTAAGCTTTTAGGTCAGAATGGTGCCTTGTTACCTGTAACATGGCATCAATTGTGTGAAGATCAGAAGGGGTATTACAACTGAACATATCACAACACACACACACACACACACACACACACACACACACACACTGTTGTCTGTTAAAGTTGGTGGAACGATCATGAAACTGTGGCTGTATTCCCTCAGTTCCCTGCACAAGTTCAGTTCTCAGGGACCCCATCATATTCAGTAAGGAAATGGTAAGTATGGAAAGGAATACCCAGGAGTACATTCACATTAAACAGAATGATGTCATTAACTAATGTGTATATACATTAAAAAGAATGATGTTCCTAATTTGTACTATAATTTTCTCATCTCTTCAAAGAACTTGTCTTTCTTTGGTCTTGGCTTCATTGTTCTCAAAGTCAGTTCTGGAGAACATGATGCTGAGCTTTGAAGCTGGGGGTCCATGGGATAGATAACCAGTAGTTCTCTAGTTACTTGACTAATTACCACACTACCTTTCTTCAACCAAAAGAAGTCAATGGATCTCAGAAAAAGGTAACTTAAGTGAGGTCAGAGGATCACACTTCACTGACTGCAGAAATAAATCAAGTTAGAGAACATAACTTACTTTACAGAAACACAAAGCTTAGGTAGTCTGGATGCAATCCAGGAGTCCTGTTCATTCCACTAATTCACTTGCTTTGTAAACACTGTAGTTTTAACTGGTCTCTAAGCTTTGCACACCCAAGCACAAAATAAAGGATTTAATAAATGCATTTCTATTGTAAAACATTTTTCTTTTAACTTTATCTAAAGCAATCTTTGTCAATATCTGGAACATTAATCTAAATGTTATTTATCAGTAAAAATTCTGGAGTCAAATATCAGCCTAAGAATCTGAAGGATCAGAGAAGCAGAGAAGCCACAAGTCTTCTCCCACCTGCTCCTTTCCTTCCTTCAAAAGGGCCTGAGATCCCTCTTTGCCCTGCCTTACTGTTTCTGTCCTATCTGTCTACAGTCCTCCAAAACCTCTGTGGTTAATTTTGGTCTGCTAGTTGACAGTTCTGCCCTCTTACTCCAAGAAAGCTTTATTTGTCAGAACACGATCAAAATCACACACACAAAAAAAAAAAAAAATCCAAAAATACTACTCATTTCCAATGGAGTTATAAAATTGTACTTGAGAAGTTAAAGACATGTACTAGAAGGATGGGCTGCAGGCTCGATAAATAAAGTGTTTACTGCTCACATATGAGGATATGAGTTGCAATCCCTAGCTAGAAGTGATGACACAGGTTTGCAATCCCAGCCACAGAGGTGGAGACAAGAAAATCCCTGGATCTTGCTGGAAAGCAAAGCCTAGCCTAATCTGTGAGCCCCAGGTCATAGTGAGAGACTTTGTCTTCAAGCAAATAAAGAGAAAAACAAAAGGGAATGACACCTAAGATTGACCCTGGCCTGACACAAACATACATATGCATACAACTCCTAACACAAGAGCTAGTGGGGCTGGGGTATATCCACATTCTTCATGAGCAAAGAAAAGGGTCTGAAGCCCCAGTTAGTTTAAACCCAATGTCAGGAATAACTAAATAAAGGTTCTTCATATATTCGTGGAAGGGATTTTATCTCTATAACATCCTGTAATTCAGAAGTGTCTCTAATTTCCCTAAACATGGACAGTCTGTGATGACTAAGACCCAAGGTCTGAAAGGCATGGCTCCCTGAGGGATATCAGTCAGGTATGCTTGTGATGGATTGAAAATGCAAATGTATATGTATGATTTTAGCACTCCTCATTGTATGAGGAACCAGCAAAACATGTGTAAATGCCTCCTTTGCTCTGGACCAGTGATGCATATCTGACTGTAGAGGAAGGGCTTTGAGAAATGTGTTTGAGATCACTACCGCCTCTCTGTTTTGTCTAATTATTTTGATGGCCTCATCCTCATGACCATGCAGAAAGCATAGATATGAGGTAAGATCTTTGACTCCCATCAACCTACTTTTTTAACCCATTCTTTTCTGGTTTTCTTTTTTCGGCTTTTCAAGATGGAGTTTCTCTATATAGTTTTGGAGCCTGTCCTGGAACTTGCTCTGTAGACCAGCCTGGTTTTGAACTCACAGAGATCCGGCTCTCCCTGCCTCCCAGGCGCTGGAATTAAAGGCATGTGCCTGGTTTGTAGTCCATTCCTATATATGAATGCAGAAATATTTCAGAATCAGTATGTTTTGCAGAAATTGTAGCAATACAAGGGGAGATGCAAGGATCTTCCTGGGAAGGGGAAATAGAATAGATTCCTCAGATGAGAACAGGAAGGGTTCACCTGTAGGGGACTGGAGGGAGAGAGTGCTGGGAGAGACAACTGGAATTTGGGGAGCATTTCACGAGTGAGGTAGAAACCTGATGCAATGGAAACTCCCAGGAATCCACCAGGGTGACCCCAGCCAAGAGTCCTAGGAATGGAGGATGCAGAATCTGAACTGGCAATTATATGCAACCAGACCAGTGTCTAGCATAATTGTCATCAGAGGGGCTTCCTCCAGCAACTGATGGAAACAGATGCAGAGACGCACAGCCAAACATTAGGTGAAGCTCAGGGAATCCTGCAGAAGAGAGCATGGAAGGACTGTAGGAGCCAGAGGAGTCTGGGACACCACAGAATCAACTAACCAGGACCCAGAGAGGCTCATGGAGACTGAATTGACAACCATTGGAGTCTGTATGTCTCTGACCTTCTGACCTACATCATCTTCGAGTATGTTATGGTTGCATAGCTTGGGGTTCCTACTCCTAACAGTGGGAGCAGAGGCTGTCTCTGACTCTTCTGCCTGCTTTTGGGACCCCTTTCCTCCTACTGGGTTGCCTTAATATGAGGAAAGGTGCCTAGTTATATTATAACTTGATATGCCTTGTTTGGTTGATATCCCTACAAGGCCTGCCTTCTTCTGAAGAGAAAGGAGGAGGAGTGCATTTGGGGAAGAGGGGATGTGCAGTAGGGGAGGACTACTAGGAGGAGAAGAGGGAGGGTATATTGAGATCTTGGATATAATATATGAGAGAAAAAAGATGAAATTATAACAATAATGATCAAATTGTCTCATCTTTTTCTCCTGAAGAATACTCTGGATTGGCAAATGCTTTGACAGTGTTTCATAATCACGGCAGAGTCCTACCTTTACATGAGGCAGCATCCTAATTAGTACAGCAGACTTATAACAACACACACAGAAAAAAAATCCTCAAAATTCAATGGTTAATGCATAAGAAATATATTTCTTTTTCTTGCAATAAACCCCAAAAGATGCCTGTTGGAGTAAGATTGAGGAGCAAGTTCTACATAATCAATTAAGGACTCAGAATTGCAAAGGCCTTGCCACCATCCAGGCATGAGTCTTCCATTTCATCTGGCGACTATGATCCTGTAAGGTCATAAAAGAAAGAGAACATGAAGAAGCAGCTTAGCATACTTTATGTGCGAGCCCTAGAAGAAGAACATCCATCACTCTGGTGATAGCCTAGAGCTTGGTCACATGTCCTCACCTAACTGCAAAGGAAGCTATTAAATGTAGTTTAGCTTTATGCCGGGGAACAGGGGAGAATGGATTTCCAAGGGCAGCTAAAAGTCTTTGCCACAGGCCCTAAAGATGGATTGAACGTTTTTCTAAAGTTATAAGACGAATAATGAAACCATTAGAGAGGTCAGGAAAGGGGGCTCTGCCGAGTTTCTTTTACTTCTGTGTAAGATAGTATTAAGGCACAGCCAAATGCTGCCTTTACTGACTTAGCCTTCATCTGTTTAAGAGGCTGATGAGGTAAGAGCCCCCTAACCTCAACCTGTCTTTGGCAAAAAGATGTACAACAGTGATCTTAATCCACCGGTATTACCTGACAGCTGCATCCAAACTGAAGGTGTAATCTTTGTCCTTCCATTGTCCAGCTCAGTCTTTTGTAAATTGTCTGATTAGTGGTAATAAGATCTAAGAAAAACATCTGGTTAATGCTCAGGGCACTTATAGGCAATGAGATTTTTGCTGTTGTTATTTCTATTCTCTAAAGGAAAAGACAGGAACCACCAAATAGCAGACATAAATTCTAGAGAAAGACGAGAAACTTAAAAAGAACATTTTTCATTGCTATTTTCTCCCTTTGTCATAACATGTAAAAATTATTTCTTCAGTGGGAACAGTATAGTAGTGATAGTGACTGTTCTAGTTTCATTCCTGTTGCCATGACAAACGCCCTGACAAAGGGTAGTATTTTGAAGAGAAAGAGTTTATTTGGCTTTACAGTTCCCGTTCCATCTCAGAGAATAAAAACAAAGCAGAAACTCAAGCAGCTGGTCACATCACATCTACAGTCAAGGTAAAGGACCAAAAATTAAAATTAATAAAAGTTTAAAAACTTGGGCCCTGAAAAGGGAACTTCTAAATACTGGGAATGCCATGGCTGGCCCCTGAGCCCCACTCTCAGAGAAGGGAGGTGACTGTCCTCCACTTGTGTCAGCATTCCTATGTCTGCTAATTGCTGGTCATAAGGTTGTAAAGATCACTCAGGGGATAACTGACAGACCCTGTGACTCTGTAACCCTGCAACCCTGTGCCCTGTCTTATCTTACTCAAATGTATCTTGCTTAAAATATATAGTCATTGCTTTACTCTGTACTTTGTATGACCTTAAGTAACCATGGAAACTCTGAAATTTGTGGCCTTCAACCTTATGGTCTTCCCCCTTTAAAAGCTTCTCTTTTTGTCCAGCTGGCATCTCATTTCCCCACTGTGGAGTAAGATTCAAGCTGGACAGCTTGAACAATAAAAAAAATAATAAACCTTTGCTTTTGCATTGGAGGTGTCCGCTCCTTGGGTTGGTCTGGGGCTCTGCAAACCTGGCACAACAAAGGGTGGAGATGAATGAATATATACACACTGCCTGCTTCTGTTTCTACTTCTCCTAGCTTTCTCTTGCCCTGCCTAGTTCAGGGCAGCTGTGCCCTGAACTAATGCTGCACACAGTATGTTAGCTCTTCCTACATCAGTTAACAACCAGGGGAATTCCCACAAGACATAGCCAAAGGCAACTCTATTTAAATACTTCTTCAGTTGAGCCTCTATTCCCAGGTTATTCTACATTGAGGCAAGTTCAAATTTAATTCTAATTAGCTCAGGGGATAGAGAGATGTCTCAGTGGTTTAGAGAACTTCCTACTATTGAAGACCTGAGTTTGTTCACCACCGCCATGACTGGTGGTTTACAGCTAACTGTAACTACTGCAAGGAATCTGATCCCTTCCTCTGGCCTCCAAAGCCACTACACTCATACAGACACACATATATACATAAGTTTTTTTTTAAAAATAAGAACTTTTTTTTTAATTAACCAGCACTGTGATCATTTCTTAATGTTGAAAGTGGTGGGGAGTGGGGGTACTGTCAAAAGGTAAAGTCTCAAAGCTTCTGCACTGATAAGGAAATTTTCCAAGGACCCTATTGTTTATAACTATTTCCTCCAAGAGGAAGCCTTAATACTCAGGACATAAAGGAAACTTATAAGGTGCCAGAAGCCCCTGAGATTAAAGGATTCTCAGAGCCTCTCTCAAAGACTATAAAGGCAGTGTATCAATCGATTAAGTTTCTGTGGCTGTGACAAAATCCCATGATCCTGAACAAGTTCCAGAGAAAGAATATATTGGGCTTGTGGTTCCAGAGGTTAAGAGCTTCATCATGAGCCCAGCGTTGGTGGCACATGCCTTTAGTCCCAGTACTCAGGAGGCAGAGGCAGGCGGATCTCTGTGAGTTCAAGTCCAGCCTGGTCTACAGAGTGAGTTCCAGGACAACCTCCAAAACAGTACATAGAAACCCTATGGGGTTGGGGGAGTCCATCTCATCATCCAACTAAGAATCTAAGCAATAGTGGAGAGGCTAACTTAAATGACCTTCCCCTATAATGAAATTGATGACTACCTTAAAAGCCATCATAGAGCCTTCACTCAGTAGCTGATGGAAACAGAATCAGAGCTCTACAGCTAAACACTCAGACGAACTCCTGGAATCTAGCTGTAGAGAGGGAGGAGGAATGAGCAAAGGGGTCAAGACCATTCTGGGGAGACCCACAGAAACAACTGACCTGAACAAGACCCCAGTCTGACAGCTGGGAAACCAGTGTGAGACGGAACCAGACTCCCTGAATCTGAGTGTCAGTTGGGGGAATTGGGCAGCCTATGGGGCCTCCAGCAGTGGAACCAGTGTTTATCCCTAGTGCATGAATGAGCTTTGGAAGCCCATTCCCTATGGAGGGATACTCTCTCAGCCTAGATACATGGGGGAGGGCCTGTGTCCTGCCCCAAATGATGTGACAGACTTTGATGATCCCCCATGGAAGATCTCATCCTCCCTGAGGAGTGAATGGGGTGGGCTGGTGGGGGCAACGGGAGGGCAGGAGAGAGAGAGGATTGGGGTTGGTATATAAAATAAAATTGTTTTTAATTTAAATAAAAATTAATTTTAAAAAAGTTCATCATGGGTGGGCAGAATAACAGCAAACATGGCTACAGGAGCAGCAAACTGTGAGGTCACATCTTGATCATTAGGTGGAAAGCAGAGAGAAAGAGGCAATTAGATGTGGTGCAAGGCTTTTAACCTCAAAGTCTACCCCTAGTGATGGACTTCCTCACGCAAGGCTGCACCACCTAAATCTGCCAAATACCAACAATTGGGACCCAAATGCCTGTTACTATGGAGGGGACAGGCAAGAGGGGGATGGACCTTTCTCATTTAAACTACTACAAGCAGTAAACAATTTGTGGGGGAGGAGATATTCCAGCACACTAGTTGTACAGGGACCTCCAAGGATAAGGCTTTCATGACTCATCCATCACCCATGCTGCCTTTTGGTGATGCACTTATGTTTGGGTCACCAATGTTCTCTCTGAAAGTAACCACTCATTATGATTCTGTAAATAATCCCAACAAACTACCTGGTGCATTGAGCTAGACTTAGGTGAACTCATTTATTTTATCTGTTGTTGGTGTCTTATCTAGGATGAATAGACATCTGTTAATGTCTCTCCAGCAAAAGTCACACAGATAGGCCTCTTGAAATCCTGAACTATATGTTATAGCTCCAAATAGCTCCCGTTATACCATAATTTGTTAGTGTGGTTATGTAATTTGTGACTTTCACATACCTCCAGAACATCCAAGGAGGAGAGGTGAATTTGTTTTGACCTACTATTTTATTCCCAGTCCACAGAACTTGGCTGTGTAACAGAAGCCTAATAACATTTAGTAAGAAAATAGAAAGAAATATAGAAATAATGAGAGTTTGAACTTTATTACAAGCTCACGTATTCCAGGCACCAGTGTGAGAGGTTCATATATAGATAGAAAGGTTAGGAGAAAGGAAAGGAAGGGGGAGTGATGTAATTTTATTATAAACTTAAAATTAGAAGAAAACAAAAATGTATTTACAGCCTTCTCTATTCCACTGAGAAAAGAAGGGAGTGAATTTTATACACAATGCCATTTTGTGAGCATCGCATTTGTAATTGCTGTTGTCAAAAAGCATGCCTTGGATTTATATTAATAGGCCCAACTGTTAAAGGATGACGCTGAAGTAGAACATGGAAAATAGTCTCTCAGTCTCTCTGTGCCTCTTTCTCCCACCCCACTTTTGTGTGTGTGTATGTGTGTGTGTGTTTCTGTGTTTGACTCTGTCACACACACACAGACACACCCCTTAATTGTTTTATTATATCGTAAATTAATATAAACTCCACTAAACAACATCCTTCAACTAAAAATTAAAGATTTGCTAGCTCCTGATAATTTTTGTTATATATTGTTATTTTTATAAATAATTTTATGCTTTCTAATAAAAAAACTTACTCCCAGTTTTATATATTTTTGCTACCCTTTAGTTCTATTGGTATGCTACAGTATAAATATTCCTTTTCCTGGCATTTTCACACTTTTATTAGCTCTGCTTCCCTTCTGCACTTTCTTTCTTCCTGACTCTATTTCTTTTCTCATTTTGTTTCTTGCATCCTCCTGTGTTCCCTGATGGAAAGAAGACTCTCAGCCCATCTCAGGCATTCACGAGTGCTTGTCTTTCCAGCGACAGCGGACTTTAGTAAGGCCACAGGCAACAATTTCACTTTTTTTTTTTTTTTTTTTTTTTTTTTTTTTTTTTTTTTTTTGAAGAGGCACATACGCCAAAGCTGCAGCCTAGCCCTAAAGAGGAATACCAAATTTGAACTGGGACAGCTTAAGCTGCCCTCTTCTCTAGCATAATGCAATTCGTCCCTGCAATCATGATTTCAGCCAAGGCATCAAGAGGAAAATATGCCTCCGAGTGTCCCTTGCTCTATCCATCTTTATGCTTTTATTTTCAAATAGTATAGAAGCCCTCAAGCTACATTATAGTTCTTTCGAATCCTTATAAAAACAGACTATTTTTTCTTTCTGTAAAGACTCTGCGATGAAAAGGTTATGCTTTGTTTATTTTCATTTCTGAAGACTCCTACTGTTAGCATCGGTGAGGTAGGAATAAATATGTCCAAACAAAATGTCTTATTGGGAAGGCCATCTAGATATATGTCCCGTTTCTGGGACAGTGCTGCCCTCTAGTGTTCAGAACAGGGATATTTTCTTCAACTTCTGACCACTTAAAAACTGGGACTCCCCAAAGAAAGGTGATAACGACTTAGGAATAGCAATGCAGTGGGAATACAATGTGTCATTGTAAGTTATATATGCGCTCAAAGATGCAAAGGGAGAAGTTTTTAAACAAAATTAAGAATTACATCAAATGTTTGGAAACAATTCTGATCATGACAATTAATGAGAAGACTGTAAAACAATCTGAGGTTGACCAGTTGCTTGTGGGACAAATACTGTTATACACAGACAAGTTGTGGCATATAACATTGTGGAGGCCTCTATGTAAATTTATGAGTCTGAAAGAGTCCTTGTGATTATTCTTGTCAGGAGACCATGTGTAAGAACATGCCCTTCCTTTGTAGTCTCTCCCCTTTATTGTCAGGCCTGATGTAAACAGTTCCATTTTTATTCTGGTAACTTTTACCTTTCACATTTCAATCTTATTATTTCCAAGCTCTCTTTGTATGTTTGGCTCTGTTATTATGAGAATCTGATTTTATAAGGTCTATATTCAGAAATCAATGATTACGCTTTAAGTAGTAAATAACACAATAAATGTTGGCAACTTTGTAAGATGCGAATACATATTTTTATTTGCTAAGATCTATTCACAAGCATTTCTAACTGTCATTAGGCACCTCTCAAGTGCACAAGCTCTCTCTGGCTCCCTCCCTCCTTTTTTCCTCCCTCTTCCCAACTATCCTCCTACGTGTGTGTGTGTGTGTGTGTGTGTGTGTGTGTGTGTGTGTGTTCATGTGCTCATGCATCAATTTCAGATGTACTTCCTTGAGCACTATTCATCATGTTTCTTGAGACAGAACCTCTCCCTCCCCTGAAACTCATGGAGTAGGATAGGCATCCACTTGTCTCCAACCCATTGGGATTACAAACATATACTATCACACCAAGGTTTTTGTTGTTGTTGTTTGGTTTCTAAATTTGTAGCATTTCCTTCAGTTCAAACTCTGGCCCTTGTGTTTTCACAGCAAGCACTGTACCTTCTAAACTGTCTCCTTCTAAAACTGTCTCCTCGGCCCTGCTTGGAGGTACTTACAACAGAAAACAGCTCCAAGCCAATTCCATACTTTTCCCACAGTCCCCACTCTTCCCTTTGCTCAGACTAACCCTGATGTATTTCTTCCTCAATACTTCCATGAGCAAGCCTGTGGGCTGCTATTAAGCACGCCATAACTCAGCCTTTTCTCACCTGTGCCACCACCTTCTTGATCTACACAAGGGGTGTCTGGGTTAAGGTGATAAGTTTTACATAGTCTCCCTGAAGCCACAGCTCCCCTCCCACCTAGCTTACTTGAGTCTCAGCAGACACTATATATAGTCCCTCAGAAATGGAAAGTGGTTTGCAGCATTCCTCCTCAAATACCTTTCAAATGCCTTCCCTCCTCTCTCAGAGAAAGTCTAACTTCTAGAGCTGACCCACACACCCTATGCTTAAATGATTCTATGCCACATACTATTGTGGGAAATTACCAATACGGAGTCAGGTAGAAATATAAGGGTATTTAATAGGGAAAAGCCTTACTTACAGAGCGACCTAGCCAGCCGGTGGCAGCAGCCTCTACAGCAAGAAGCAAAAAAGAAACTGAAAGCAGTCACACTACATCATTCTGACCACGCCCTCACAAGCGTGGTCAGGCACACCTGTAGCCAGCCCCTAAGAAGGCGTGGCTACAGCTTCCCCTACAACATACTCCCTTACTTGGTTGGTCATCACGACTTCTGAGCAGCTTCTCTAGCAAACAGAATATCCAAAAAGGCTTTAAAATGCTCATGAGCTTATCTAAACTTTAAGCAGATTGTGAACTAACCCTGGCCTCTAATCTCCATTTCCTTGGAATTCTTACTTTGGAAAACTTGTGATCAGGGCTGCTGAAGGAGACCAAGTTGGCATCCATGGTCTGTGCTGCTGCTATCACAGGCCATGTTAAAGTCCTTGGTCCCTGATGCTACTGGAAGCCATGTTAAGATCAGAGGTCTGTCTGTGCATGGATCATGTTGATGTTCATGGTCCTGGCTGTTACAGGTGGTCATGTGGGAGTCCATGATCCATACTGAGGCTGGCTGCTATGGGCAAGGTAGCTTCTTTTGCAGTGGTATAGATGACTGGGTACTCATAATTGAGAATGGGAAACATTAAAGACATGGTGACAACCTCCCCAATCCATCCAAAAATACATAGGAAAAGGAAAAAAGACATGGTCCAAACAGGAAGCTATTAACCAGAGTCCATAAAAATGATAATAAAGATGCTGAAGTATAGCTCTTCACAGCTGATGGCTTGTGAGGGATTTAGGTTGCTTCTAGGTTCTGGCTACTACAAATAATGCTGCTATCAACATAGTTGAACAGATGTCCGCGTTGTATCAAAGTGCATCCTTTGGGTATATGCCTAAGAGTGGAATTGCTGGGTCTCGAGGTAGACTGATTACTGTTTTCCTAAGAAACTGCCATACTGATTTCCAAAGTGTACAAATGTAAGAGTCTGCATTCCTACCAACAATGGAGAAGTGTTCCCCTTTCTCCACATCCTCTCCAGCATCGACTGTCATTTGGTGGTTTTAATTTGAGCCATTCTGACAGGTGTAAGATGTATCTCAGAGTTGTTTTGATTTGCATTTCTCTGATGGCTAAGGATATTGAGCAATTTCTTAAGTGTCTTTTGGTCATTTGAGATTCCTCCATTCCTCCATATTCTCTATTTAGATCTGTACCCCATTTTTAAATTGGATTATTTGGTGTTTTGACTAGCTCCTTGAGTTCTTTGTATATTTTGGAAATCAGCCCTCTGTCAGATGTGGGATTGGTGAAGATCTTTTCCCATTCTGTAGGCTGCCGTTTTGTCTTGATGACTGTGTCTTTTGCCTAACAGAAGCTTCTCAGTTTCAGGAGGTCCCATTTATTAATTGTCAACCTCAGTGTCTGTACTATTGGTTTTATGTTCAGGAAGTGGTCTCCTGTGCCAGTATGTTCAAGGGTACTTACCACTTTTTCTTCTAAGAGGTTCAGTGTGGCTGGATTTATGTTGAGGTCTTTGATCTATTTGGACTTAAGTTTTGTGCATTGTGATAGATATGAATCTATCTGCAATCTTCTACACACCAGCATCCAGTTATGCCAACACCATTTGTTGAAGATGCTTTCCTTTTTTCCAGTGTATAATTTTAGCTTCTTTGTCAGAAATCAGGTGTTCATAGGTGTGTGGATTAATATCAGGGTCTTAGATTCCATTCCATTGGTCTACCTGCCTATTTTTGTGCCAATACCAACCTGTTTTTATTACTATAGCTGAACTTAAAGTCAGGGATGATGTTGCCTCCGGAAGTTCCTATATTGTACAGGATTATTTTGACTATCATGGGTTTTTTGTTTTTCCATATAAAGTTGAGAATTGTTCTTTCAAGATCTGTGAAGAATTGTCCTGGGATTTTGATGGGGGTCATTGAATCTGTAGATTGCTTTTGGTAAGATTGCCATTTTTTCGATGTTGATCCTACTTATCCAAAAGCATGGGAGATCTTTTCATTTTCTGATATCTTCTTTAGTTTCTTTCTTTAGAGACTTAAAGTTCTTGTCATACTTGTCTTTCACTTGTTTGGTTACAGTTACCCCTAAGATACTTTATGTTGTTTGTGGCTATTGTGAAGGGTGGTGTTTCTCTGATTTCTTTCTCAGCCCTTATTTTACTGTCTTAAGGCTTCAATGTACACAAGCTAGACAAGTATCCACGCCACTGAGCTATATCTCCATTCTTTGATTTTCCATTTGATTCAACAAGAATCAATAACAACTAAAAACCAAAAAGCCTTTCCTTTTATAAAGTTGTTATGGTGAGGCTGAACCTGCCGATGCGATCGGGGGTGGGATGATTCACAGGCTTCACTATGTATGTGGCCGCGAGGGTCCCGCGTTCCCTGTAGGTGTGCATGACCTCACTAGTACAACTTGGTCCTGGCAGGAGTCTCAATCCCTCCATTCTGAGAAAACCCAGGCCTCAGGGTGCTGAGCCATCGAATTCCCGGGATGCTTTTGGGCCAGCCCGGCAGTGCCCAGGTCCCCACGCGGGTGGCTTCCCTTGTCCTCTGAGCTCGAAAGCTCACACCCACTCTCCACCAAGCCACTGGGTGCTAATCAGCCTCCCCCTTTATTGGAGAAATCCTAACCTCTTGAGAAGTCCTGCACGTTAGTGGCTACTGCACCCAACACCTTGCTGGGCCCCAGGAGGCGCACAGTGAATGATTTGAGAAAGAAAAAGCAAAGCACAAAGACTTTAATGGAGAACAGGCCACGACAAAGTGGGGAGGGGCCTGGAATCAAAGAGTATGGAGGTCATGACTGAGATGGCTCAGTTTCTCCGGGTCGTCCGATGCCTTAAGGGAGAAGTCTCAGAAGATGTCGAGATATGTCTCATCCCCTGAGGAGGACAGAGAGAAGGCTGGACAGCTGGCCTACTCCGAAAAGCATCACCGGGCAGTAGGGTGGGTCTGACAGGGCAAGCTCCTGATGTGTGGGTGCATCGTAAGCGCAGCCTCACGCCTTTCCCTTTCTTTCCGAGGGCCAGGCACGTTCGTGCCCCAAAAACATGTTTGTTGAATAAACAACGGCATTAATGCAGTTGGACAGTAAGGGGACAAGTAAGCAAGGGGCCAGGATTCTGGTGTAGACCCGGAGTCCAGATAAATAAGTGGTTACTTTACCTGACTGGCCCTGGGCCGCTTCAGCCTCCCTCATCTTTGACAATTTTAGCCTGAAGGCTGGGAATTAAGGAATAAAAGACTTTGCACATTTCCTCCCTAACTCTCTATCTTTTGCTCAACTCCCATCCGTTGAGTTACATCACTGGGGGAAAAAAATGCCTCCCTGGTGACTACTGCTTTAAAAAGCAAACACGTGAACTTACTTTTCTGCAATGTTGATGTCCGAATACTGGCTCCCAAGATGAACTCCCATTATTTCACCCTGCTCCACACCCTACCACCCACAGAGAGCTTTACTTCACTGATCCCCAGGCCTCACCTTCCAGGTCTGGTTTTGGCCTTAGTCCCACCCCAAAGATGAACAGACTGTCCAAGCACTAGCCCGACCCTCTGGCATTCTCACAGGGTTACGATGTCAGCGTTCGCCGTCTCCATTGCAATGGTCAGAGTGTCCCTGCCTTCTGTGTCTCGAGCACTCAGATCTGCACCCCGTTTCAGGAACAGGCAAGCAAGCCTGAAGAGGACAGGTAAATTCAGCTGCAGCAGCCTTCCGCCAGTTTCATTCCCAGGAAACCTCCTCCCCACGGTGGCACCTGCACTGCTTGCTACCCTGTGTGGCCAAGAATGGTGGCATGGTGGAGATGGCCCCGGCCAGCACTGTCTGCTTGGTTCACGTTTGCCCCATTCTGGAGGAGAAACTCACAGGCCAGAAGAGAATTCTGCATGGAGAGATCAAGGAGAAGATGACATTTTTAGAAGTGGATTTCTAGACATTTTAGGGGTGGCATAGTTAAGACCATGGGAGTGTGAAATATGGTATCAGGGTACAACTAGCTATCGGGTTTGGCTGTCACTCTTTACAAGTTCATGCATTAAATCTATCCTGCATTCTGAAAAAAAAATTAAAGTTGTTATGGTGTAAAAATCAGTGATAAATAACATCAATAAAATGCTGGAGAGAGACCTCTAACATGTTGGATAAAAACTGGTTCATAATAGTCGCTCCAAAGCAGAAAGGTTGAGTCAGGTGTAGATTAGAAGAAAGGATATGCGATAGGTAGGGTTTTAGTTGGGGGGGAGGTGATAGAGGAGGAAGGGAGGGAGAAGGGAACTGGGATTGTCATGTAATTAAATCTTGTTTGTAATTCAAATAAAAAAATAGTCACTCCAAATGAATTCATTTTATTTTTAAAATTGTAGGGCTAACCCCACTCAAAAAAAAAAAAAAAGCAAAAATGCTAGAGCAGGCTTTTACCAGTACAAAAGAACCAGTGATATGCATTTCTTCCTGACTTTGGGATCAGTGATTTCACTTTAGTTGCTTTAAATCCGTCATGTTGGGAGTGCCTCCACCACCGGAATCAACAGCACTACACGCAAGGACTGTTTTTGCTGCAAATAAGTTAAGCATTTACCAGAAAACCAGTGAAGTCTGGCAAATAACAAAATCTGAATTTTAAGCTCTTCTGGAAGGAAATAAACACTATCATATTAGCATATTATATATCTGCATGGTGCATTAATATAGCACATTAATATGTTTTACAAAGCTAAGTTAACAATTACCTAGTGTAGTGTTAGGTTGTAGATGATTTCAAAATGTACCATTATTTAAATAGAATTGACTTCTTCCAGTAATGAATAAACATAACCAAGACTACCTACCAATAAATATTTTTTACTTAATTTAAAATAGACATCTTGGATAAAACCATTTTGTTCCTATTGAGAATTACTCAGTATGGTGCTAAGCCATTTTATAACCTTTAAATATATTAGCCAAGTATGCAACAGAGGGAGAAAAAGAATTTCCTGGGTGTCAAAAGGAAGAAAATTTGAAATTACTTCCCCATGGAAAATCACATGGAAACCGTTTACTT